TCATGGTCATGCGCAGATGGGGTGGAGACATGCACAGGCTGCACGGTATTTAAAATTCCTAGTGGTCATCCGCGTGTGTGCGATAAGTATTCAATTCTGTAGTCCCCACTTGGGTCTTAGTTGATGCGGTACTGGCTTGACACCTCCGTCGTCGGATGCGGGCCTGATAATTGCGTGACAATTATGCCCGCTGTCGTCAGATTTGTTGCTACGGCCGGCCCTTCCACGTGACTGATTCTCTTGCTCAGGAAACTTCTCAGTACACCGAATGGGAACGCTAAATCGTTGCGCTTGTTGATGGACTTTCTTCTAAGTGACTTTGCAAGCTGGCTAACTAAAGAAAAACTGCAGAATTAAAGCATCACTAGGTACATTTTTCTGCGCAAACAACTTTTTGGGGGTCAAGCCTCTGAGAGAAGAGCATTTTTCATGTGCAGTATGAGCTAAAGGAACCCGAAACAAGACCTAATTCGAAGGAGGAAGGGCGTTAACCAGGAGAGGTTTATTTTTATGTTAAGTTTCGGATAGGTGTCTCGCCTATCCATCTGCAGAGTGTGGATACTCTAGCTCCTGGCTCTCGCTATATGCCGCTCCTTTCTTCCGCCTGCGTAGTCTGCCAATCCAGTTGGAGCCGCTCTGCGGGGGTCGCGTCTCTAGGTGGTAACCGCATGCCACCCACATGCCTGGTAACCGTCATCCACACTCTACACCGCGTTGCTACTGTCTGCAACTGAGGCGTTAGTGTTTATGGTATCTCCCCACGTCTCACCATAGTTGTCTCCTGGATACGCCGGTCGAGCGGCTAACTGGTTGATGGCCCCGCTTGCTCTGTGTCGTGACCGTCTCCTGATAAGAATCATCTTAACACAGCATAGGGGGCCAACAAATGTGGCAGTATACCGAACAGCCGGTTGACATCCAGGCCTCTTTAATCTGCCTTGACGTGTGGTCATCACCTCGGCCCACAATTTCGAGGCTGTAAAGGTTGAAGACTAGCCCCATCTCTACAGCATGGATTGCTGCCTCTCCCTGTGAACGCCCTTTCCCCTTCTGACTTACCGCCTGGGAATCGAATTTTGGCTACTAATAAGACATAAATAGCATTGCCAGCAATGCCAAGAGAGACTTTAGTGGTCATTTTTGGCTAATCACTCGTCATCAACCAGTCATATGCGAACACAAGTGGTGCACGGCCCGGGGCTCGAACTCGCGACCTCAACGATCTAAGAATTGAGCCACGAGCTCATTGAGTTACCGGTTTAGATTAGGGGATATTAACACCCGCTGATGAACGTTCCAGAATCGCTAACCACAAGCTCCTAGTCTTACCGGTCTAGATCAGGGGATATTGACATTCACTGATAAACTTTCACCTGAACACTAACAGAACTCACATTGTCGAGCCCCTCTCCCTCCTAATAGCTGCACAACGGCTAGTATTTTAGGCAGATATAGATGTAATCGTGAAAGTATAATGAACATACCTTCAGCAGCTCTCATTGGCTCGCATGTATCCCAAATTTCCATCCCTCTTTTTGAGGTCCATAAGCATATCCGTGCTAAAACAGGGACTCAGTGGGTTCTATGTCTGTCCGAGCTTCCGCATATAAAAGAACATACTATACTGTGTTTGTTCCGTTTTCGATCAGGGAAAAATTGGGCTTTTCGGGACAGTCCATTTTGGTGGGCTACCATGTTCAGAATATACCAAAACAAAAGCAACAGAGTTAAATGATTACACTGGTCCTTGTCATCCACTGAAGTCGTTCTGTATATAAGTATGATTGAAATTTTTAATACAACTTTCGAATCATAGTACTGAATCGGTTTTCAGTGAAGTTTTAAACTAAAGTGGACTTTCTA